GATGTAAATAAGCAGACATAATGTTTGTAATTTATTCAGTCAGATACCTGAAAGAGAATATGCTGCCTAAATACACACACACACACACACACACACACATATATATATATATATATATATATATATATATATATATATATATATATATATATATATCAGATGTAAGCTTTTTTTATAAAATAATAAAGACCATCTTTAAAAAATGACGTTCAAGGTGCTTTCAGGGGCGGTGAGTTGTTTTTGTTTAGTTTTCCGGTTTTCTACTACTCCTCGATTTTTTGAACAGGAGTAAAGGTTTATCCCTTTTTCTCCTGTGTAGTACTGGGTTTCTGGTTCCTTCGAAAGTCTTTTTACATTCTCTTTCACTCCAAGTGTCCCACTTGCGTCTTAGTGTGATTATCGCTTTGCTTGGGGTGAAATGATTAAAAAAAACAATACATTTTCTTATATATATTTCTTGCATACACAGACACAGAGAACACGCACACACACATGCACACACACACACACACACACATATATAGCACACGCATATATATATATATATATATATATATATATATATATATATAGCACACACATGTTCTTTGCCGGTTATCCAATCCTTGTTGCAGACGCCTGCTCAGACCCATTTGTGTTTGTTCATCGTCCACAGAGGCCACCTGTAGTTTATGCTTCAGCTATTATGCTAAGCAGGCTTTAAAGAATGCATAATATAGTGTAATCAAGTATTTGAACATGGCCATTGTGAACAAACCCTCAGTCACGATGACTTGTGACTTTGTGCTAACACAGCCGTTTGCAGAGGTCATATCTTCTTGGTGTGATTCGGGCAATAACGACTCTGTTAATATCTTACAGCACTACTTGAATCACATGCGACGAAGTCAGTCTGATTGTCTTCAACAGTTCTTATGATTAGAACGAGGCTATCTGTTGATGAAAGTCTATGAGACGTTATGCAAGCTATGTGACTCTAAACAATCAAGCAGCTACCATCAGGCATACTGAAATTTATTGAATGGCATGAATTCTTGTCTTAGGAGTTGACATCTTTCATGAAGACCGAAAATGGCAAGCATAAAACTTGTTGATCAGCATCTTGGTAAAACGAGGGGACAGTCAGTATATATGTATTAATATATTATTCTTGCTAAAAAAGTATTTCTACAGCGTATATATATATATATATATATATATATATATATATATATATATATATATATATATATATATATATATATATATATATATATATATATATATATATATATATATATATATATATATATATATATATATATATTATATATATATATATATATATATATATATATATAGATAGATAGATAGATAATGGATTTATTTTAAATACATTTTTAATTTAAAAGTTATTTTAAGCGAATACCCGTGTTTAAAATAGTCGCCCATTTTTTAAAAATCAGTCTGTATTACGTCTATCGGCCGCTGCATATATATATATATATATATATATATATATATATAGTTAATAAAACTGATTTATCACACAACCGACTTAGAAGTTTTACGAAACAACAATCATGTGGGATAAGTCGATTTATTTTTTTCTATTTTTAACTATTACTCTAGGACTATTTCCATGGCAAAACTTCAGACGTTGCTACATTCTTTAGTTGCACCAGTTCAGATCTTCACAACTAGGAGACACCATACCGCGTACAAAGATGCGGCTCATTCTCATTCCCTTCGTATTCCATTTGTAAGAAAGAAGTTCCACTCAAATAGCTTCTTCTCCAGAACCGTGACTCTGTGGAACAAACTTCCAAGAGGATACATTCACTATAACCTTAACCTCTTCATGTCTGGGTTCAGCCGTTATCTATCATACATATCCTCGTAATTTGAACTTCTTAACCTCCTCCTTTTACGATCATACAACAGCTTTATTCAGTTAACATCTACATGGAGTGGCTCTTTGGGGCCTGTTTCAGGACATCAACAATAGGAAAATTAACGATTCAACCAATCTTTTAATATCAGATTACTCAAATCTTGTGCAACACAGATAATCACCGATTATCCTGACCGGTTATTGCCATTAGATTCAGGCTGTCCGTTGCTGAAAGTCCACGTGGTGTTGCGTATGCTGTGTGATTCTGGACAATCGGGCAGTTACCATTATGTATACAGAAATGAATTTAATTTCATTATTGCATCACTTAACATTCCTCCATTCCTAGTTGATGTTATTGTGTGTTGGCTTTTTATTTTTTTTATTATTAATGCTTCTATTACTTTTAGACTTTTTTTTTTTTTTACATGTGGATGAGGCTATTATACTTGGATTTTCTACAAGCATATTGCGGATGGAATTTGATAGGTTTCCGTGTGTGTTTAAATGAGACCTAATTCAGCTATGATCAGAGAGATGTAATGTGAGTCTTCTTGATAGGTATTCTCTATCGGTTACCCATCTAGCTATTGACCAGGCTCGACATTACTTAACTTCAGTGACTGTACGGGAATCGGTGTTTCAACGTGATATGACCGTAAACCTGACAGACACCCGAAGAAAGCCGGTGCCTACATCTGCCGAAACGTTGGGACAACAAAGATGAGGATTTTAGTCCGAATGGAAATAATGATAGATTTATATCGACTGTTCGCATAAATGAATGTGTTAACGGCTTGCAATTGTAACTTTTAATATGCAAGCAACAATGGAAATCATTGGTATGTATATCATCTCTTGTGCGTCACTGACATAGGATTGTAACCAAACAACAAAAAAAATGTGTGTTTTAACCGGTGAAGACCAGACGATTGAGATCAGTAGGTTAGATTTAACAGACACACATGCGCGCGCGTACGCACACACAACCAGACAAACAAACAAACAAACACAAACACATACACACGAAAGACCGGCTTGACAAGATAGGGTCGTTTCGTATATTGCCAAATAAAAGGCGACAGAGGATAGACTATAAAAATATGCAGTGGCACCTACAACAACAAAGACCAGATCCATCAAGATGTACCTGAAATATCTTTGGGGCCTGTTTCAGGTCATCAACAGTAGGAAAATTAACGATTCAACCAGTCTTTTATTATCAGATTACTCAAATCTTGTGTAGCACAGATAATCACCGACCAGTTATTGCCATTAAACTGAATCTTATGCTTCCATCATTTCTGAATCTTATACTTTCCATTATTTCTCCTAAACCGTTTTTCGCCATTCATTGTCAGTTGCTGAAAGTCCACGTGGTGTTGCGCATCCTGAGTGATTCTGGACAATCGTGCAGTTACCATTATGTATCTATAAATGAAATTAATTTCATTATTGCATCACTTAACATTCCTCCAATTGGATTATAATATCTCTTTTTCAGTCTTTCAAGCTCTGCATGCGACGGAGTGATGACAACAGATACAAGTCCTACTCGGTCTCTTCTTTATGAGCCGTGTCCCCTCAGGACATAAGCGATCACGGCTCTCTACTACTTCCTGTATATTGTAGTTCTTAATAAATTTTCTCTATCCATTACTTCTCCTAAACTGTGTTCCGCCATTCATTTACTCAGGCTTAGTCAGTCAATTATGTGCCATGCGTGATACACGCTTAGACGATCATGTATCTTTCTTTCTTTGTTTTTCCTACAGTAGGTTACCATTTCTTTCTGCGGTAGACCAGTAGCCATTTAAGGCTATAGAACCCGGTCTGTCCTGCTATTTACCCAGAGCTGGTGGGAAAAGAAGAGGGTTCATAGCTGGGGCATAGGGAGGTGAAGAAAACGATTCATACCCTCTCCCAAGGGTATTAGCACGTAAGTGAATGTAATGGATTCAATTGGAATTCGAACTCGGCTCTCCGATTCCGAGCTGTTATCCATTACTCCAGCGTGCCTCAAGCTCAGTAGGTATGTTATGCGGGATTTCCTCAGGATCTCTTGTCTTCAATTTGTCCTGGCATTACGACTAAGTTTTTAATATGATCGGGTCACTAATTCTTTGCACTTATGATCGAGCTTTCTTGCTGAGGGATGCTATGAGTGTCTATTGTTTTATAGACATATTAACTTTACCCTATGTCAAACAATCTTTGTTCGGCTGGAAGAGCGTTTTTTTTTTCAAGTATACCATCTCCCTATAGGCAGAACTGATCATGTTTCCTCGACCAAATAGGAACCCTCGAACGACTTCCAAACAGACCTTCTCAGATCTAAATTCAGAGATGGCCTTCTAGACTGATTGCCAGCCAATGTTCAAGAGCGCAGATAATAAGGATCTCATGATACAATTCTTGCTAATTAACTTATAAGCTGGTTGGGCTGATGAAGTGGATTCATACATTTCCTAAAAGTATTTCTGAATATAGCGAATCCAAACGGAATTGGAACTCGATTCTCCGAATAACAATTCCAAGTCATTATTCATTACAGTTTACAGTTCTTGGTATTTTTCAAGCTATTACCCATCTAAGTATTGACCAGGCTCGAAGTTGCCATTTAACTCATAACTGGAAGGATAGCGTTGGATGCATACCTTTCGCATTTGTGCGAAAGTGAATGTAACAAACTCGACCAGAATTCGAACTTATTTCTCCTTCCGACCCGTTAACCGTCTAACTAAAAGCCACATAAAGCAGATGAGATTTCAGTTCCAACTAGGCTTCCTCTCGTTTTATTCTTGCTTGCTTTAGCATCTGTCCGTGGTCTTTTGCCGCCTTTTTCTTGATTGTTTGATTGCTTCGTTGTTTACGGATTATCAACCCTTTTGCAGGCTATTTAAAGCTAGAAAATATTTTTAGATGGTAAGAATTTTTTTTAGACAATAATGATTTAGTGATACAAGTCCTACTAATTAACCCATATCTGGGGGGAAGAGGTGGACCCATACCTTTCGTAAGTGTATTTGCGCATAAGTGAATATAAAGAACACAACTGGAATTGGAACTCGGCTCTCCGATTAACAATTCCGAGTCATTATTCATTACATCACACTCAAATATAAGTTTACAGCACCTGATATTTCCAAATGGTCACCCATCAAGGTACTGACCAGTCTCGACGTTGCTTAATTTCGGTGATCGTACGGGAAACTGTAATGTCAATGTTATATGACCGTAAGCCAGCCACCTTCTTCCTGAGCAAACTCAGCCAAACAGAAGACAAACATTGACAGCAGAGAAATGCAATGATCGTGTGAATATTTGTCAATAAATACCAATGACAAACACCCGGCGAAATGCACAGGGACTTTGGAAAGGGACTCGAGCATGCGCAATGAAACAACGCATTCTGGTATCGGCGTCTTTGTGGAGGGGCGTAGAGACAGGAAAGTATATGAATACGAGAGAAAACTGTGAAATAAAGAAAAGAAAAAAATACGGAAAATAAAGAAAAGGGTAAAGGGGGGAGGTTTAAAAAATAAAACAATGAAAATAAAGATAAGGAAAGAGATGAGTAAACTAAAGAAACAAGAAAAAAAGAAATGAAAAATAGATAGAGAGAGAGGGGAGAGAAAGCAGATAAAACTAAAAAAGAATGCCCACAAAAACTAAGGATATATATATATATATATATATATATATATATATATATATATATATATATATATATATATATGTTCACATATATTTATATATATATTTATTTATATTTATATACACACACTTTTCACACACACACACACACACATATATATATATATATATATATATATATATATATATATATATATATATATATATAGTCTTAGTGGAAGGAGATTTAATAATTGGGAAACAGAAAAAGAAAGAAACAAGACCGAATTTAAAGGAAGGAAGAAGTAAAGTTGTAAATATAGAGAGGGTGGAAAAAATGAAAGAAAGTAAATTCAAGAAAAGTGAAGCGTGCAGAATGATAGAAAATAGAGCGGGAACGAGGAGAAGGTAAAAGAAAGACATAAACAAGAAAACAAAATGTAAAGAAAAAGAAAGAAAATTGTTAAGAAAGAAAAAAGAAAGAAAGAAAATGCAAAGCAAGAAAAAAGAAAGAAAAATATAAAGAAAGAAAAAAGAAAGAAAGAAAAATCTAAGAAAGAAAAAAGAAAGAAAAATGTAAAGAAAGAAAAAAGAAAGAAAAATATAAAGAAAGAAAAAGAAAGAAAAATGTAAAGAAAAAGAAGGAAAACTGTAAAGAAAAAACAAATAAAATTGTTAAGAAAGAAAAAAGAAAAAGCAAAGCAAGAAAAAAGAAAGAAAAATATAAAGAAAGAAAAAAGAAAGAAAGGAAAATATAAAGAAAGAAAAAAGAAAGAAAAATATAAAGAAAGAAAAAAGAAAGAAAGAAAAATGTAAGAAAGAAAAATATCAAGAAAGAAAAATGTAAGAAAGAAAAATATCAAGAAAGAAAAATATCAAGAAAGCAAAAAGAAAGAAAGAAAAATCTAAGAAAGAAAAAAGAAAGAAAAATATAAAGAAAGAAAAATATAAAAAAAGAAAAAAGAAAGAAAGAAAAATGTAAGAAAGAAAAATATAAAGAAAGAAAAAAGAAAGAAAAATATAAAGAAAGAAAAAAGAAAGAAAAATATAAAGAAAGAAAAAAGAAAGAAAAATGTAAGAAAGAAAAAAGAAAGAAAAATATAAAGAAAGAAAAAAGAAAGAAAAATATAAAGAAAGAAAAAAGAAAGAAAGAAAAATGTAAGAAAGAAAAAAGAAAGAAAAATATAAAGAAAGAAAAAAGAAAGAAAAATATAAAGAAAGAAAAAAGAAAGAAAAATATAAAGAAAGAAAAAAGAAAGAAAAATGTAAGAAAGAAAAAAGAAAGAAAAATATAAAGAAATAAAAAAGAAAGAAAAAATCATATAAAGAAAGAAAAAAGAAAGAAAAAAAAAGAAAGAAAAAAGAAAGAAAAAATCATATAAAGAAAGAAAAAAGAAAGAAAAATATAAAGAAAGAAAAAAGGAAGAAAGAAAAATGTAAGAAAGAAAAAAGAAAGAAAAATGTAAGAAAGAAAAAAGAAAGAAAAATATAAAGAAAGAAAAAAGAAAGAAAGAAAAATGTAAGAAAGAAAAAAGAAAGAAAAATGTAAGAAAGAAAAAAAAAGAAAAATATAAAGAAAGAAAAAAGAAAGAAAGAAAAATGTAAGAAAGAAAAAAGAAAGAAAAATATAAAGAAAGAAAAAAGAAAGAAAGAAAAATGTAAGAAAGAAAAAAGAAAGAAAAATGTAAAGAAAGTAAAAGAAAATATAAAGAAAATGTAAAGAAAGAAAATGTAAAGAATGAAATATAGAAAGAAAATAACGAGACAAAAAAGAAAAGAAGAAAGAAAACGTAAGGAAAAACAGAAAAGAGACTAAAATTGATATAAACACCACCCGCGTTTCCTGTATGCCGTTGCCTCAATAAAATGAATGTGTTGTGGGGATAATGAATAGAATTTCAAGTGGAAGTCGATTTGCTTCATTTATCAACGATCCCCACACTTCGAGCAATGAACTGGAATCCTCCAAACGTGAAAAATGGGAGAAATTATTGTTTGGTCACTGCGAGATCTCGAGAGTTTTCCATATTTTTCACGTTTAATGCACCAACCCTTCCTTCCTTCTGGTGTTTTCCAAATATTTAATATACATTATTCAAAATAAACATTTCTATCTCTTTTTGTTTTATTGGCCATCTTTTGTCATAGCAACTTTATTTGTCTTGCCACCAATCTTATTCTATTGAATTCATATCACGGTGTCCCATTTTTACTTCTCTCTTCCAATTCTATATAACCATGTTCATAACAACTTCAGTCTGTTCATGCCACGGTATTTTATCAATCTGAAGCATTTATATATATCTCAACTTTTTCTATCTATCTATCTCAATCTTTTCATTATATATCTCTCTTTCGACTGATCTATTTATCTATTTATCTCAGTCTCTTTATCTATCTCAAATTTTCATATCTATCTCAGTATCGTGACCTTTTCATATCTATCTATCCATCTATCTATCTCAGCCTTTACATTCCTATCCGTTTTATCCCTTTTCTATCTATCTATCTAACTAGCTAGCTAGCTATGTCTTCATTCCACTGAATGAAGATAACACAATCATGGAATATAATGTCGCTTGGAGTCGACGTAGTCTTACTGAATTCTGTTGTAAGAATATAAGGCTCGCTCCGGCTAGCTCGGTATTTACCAAACCTCTCCAAGAGGCAGGATGTGGCACAAGGCCAATTTTTGCGTGGGGCAAATCCGAGCCCATGGGCTCGGCCAAAAATCAGATACACGGGATTGGGTTTGTCTACCTTCCCAGACGAGACTCTGCCCTTTACCATAACATCGTCTGGGTTCCTCTTTGCCCGAAAGCAGAGAGTTCGACAAGATGTAAGAGCTCCGCGAGCGGTCAGCACTACACTGACGATTCTCGGTGTCAATATATATGCTATTTGAACGAGTCCAAGTCATATTCTGGAGAGGTGTGTTCATCTCAACAACACCCACTTTTTAGATATGCATTTTCGATACTTTTTCCGGCATGGGTCCACATCCAATGTTTCAGATGGATTACGTTTACGCTTACCCTGGTGTTGTATTGTAATATTAGTTTTAGGAACAGCTACTTCAAATGTATTGTAATGCATGTCCATCGCTGAATTAAATTGAACTGGTTGCTTATTCTGTGCATATCTAGACCTAAATTGATTTATATGACTTCTATGTCGAAATCGTCCACCTTCGACAATATACATCCTACTACCAAGGCATCGAATAATTTTTCCTTCCAGCCAATTTTCCTTTCCGGCTTTAAAGCTTTTAAAAGAGACTTTATCGCCGATCTTAAATGATCTGGTAGTTGCAAATTGTCGAATGTTCTTTTTATTCCCTGGCAGTAATTTGTCAAAAATAGATCTAACTTAACTTGGAAACATGAGTTCTGCTAGTGACATTTTCGCGGTGACGTTACCATTTGACGTCATTCGATACACGCTCAAAAATTCTTGTAGTGACGTTTCTTCAGCTTACAAGCCTTTAGATTTTTTTTTCTTTTGAAAGTGTCAACAAACCGTTCAGTTTGACCATTCGACCTCGAATGATAAATCGGCGTTGTCATATGTTCAACCGCGTAGTGCTTGCAGAAAATTTAAAACTCACTAGAAGTAAATTGAGTTCCATTATCGGATACCACACTGTCAGGTAATCCAAACCTTGCAAAAATTTCGCGTAAAAATGTAATCGTTATTGCGGTAGTAGGTCGTTTTCACTTTAATATCTCGGGTCATTTTGTGATACTGTCGGTCACAATTAAATAGTATGAACTGTTTAGTGGTCCAGCAAAGTTCATATGTATTTCTTGCCCCCGGTTTATCAGAGCTCGGACATGTCTGATAATTTATAGGTGAAGATTTTGCTGCTGAATTACAACCATTACATTTTCTAATATTATTTTGAATATCTTTGTTCAACTTTCGCCAATAAACATAGCTTCTCCATCAGAGACTTTATCCTCACTATTCTCGGATATCCTACGTGGAATTGTTCCAAAATCCTTTTTTATAATGATAATGAAATTACTATTCTTTCCGCGTACAAAAGTACTCCATCACAAATAGAAAATGGTGTATTATTGTTACCAGGTTTCATTTTAGTTTGACTCTATTTCGAATTAACGTCATTCATAGTGTTTTTGAATAAACATATCCTTTTTAGAATTAATTTTGATATCGGCTATCGTGATCGGCGATTCTGAATAATCAATTTTTTCAATAGCTCTGCGGTTTTCAAACCTATCAAGTTCGGTTTTAATAGACTCCAGCGCAGCAAAGTGTATATTTCTTTTAGGTTTAACAACTGGTATCATATTTTCTTTTAATTTAAAAAATACTTTCGACTTTGTACATTTTCCCAACTCCTCTGAGAAAATATCCGTGAATTTCTTTCTTAGTTTACTCAATGTTTCTTTATCTGTAATCATTTTTTTCCTGACGAACAATTAATTTTTTCCACAGAATAAATTAATTGGCCAATTCCATAGTTCCAATAATTCTTGCTAATCAACGCCTAGTAAATTAAAGTTGGATTTTTTTAATACGTAAAACTCTGCTCTTTTCCAGCAAGAGCGACGTTACACGTAATTTTCCTAAGAAAAAATAATTTCTTACCCGATATTCCTCTTGCAACTTTGTCGGATTTTTCAAGTTAGGTTTGCCAATTCTGCTCCATGTTTGTTCATCAATAATTGTAATATCACTACCAGTGTTCAATTGAAATCTCACTGTAGCGTTATTCATTTTTACTGTCACGAATTTTCGATTATTAGGACTTTCCAGTCTTTTAGCTGGTAGCACTACTTTCGGCAAGTTAATTTGTGTATTTCTTTTGCTTTTAGACTTGTAGCAGCTTCGTTTATTACCTGTTTTTCTACAATTAAGAAATTTTGGGGTTTTAAATCGACATTCCTTTCTAAAATTAAGCATAACAGTCATAGCATGGATTAAGTTTGGCAGTATTTTTATTTCGGATTTTTTCTTTTGGTACGACTGTCTTTTTTCAAACTACTTTTACTTCTGACGTGCCATTTTGTTCGATTTTCGCTGTATCGTGCCTTAAATTGACAATTTTTTAACACTCAATAATCTGTATCGTTAACTTTGAATCCTGTTCAATTTTTGTAAGTATTCGAGAGCGTAATTCCGTATCGTTGTTCGCTGTTATAGCTTTAACGAAGATTAGGCATTTAAATATGTCTGGAGTTTGTCCAGTTTAAATTTCTCACACTCACAGTTGACTTTACCGGCATATGTGACAAAATCTTCATCTTCGTCTTTATGTTCATGCACTGCCAACGAGTATAAAAAAGTGAATTCCTTTCACCAAAAATTTTTCATAATATCGACACTGCTTCGTTAAATGACATTTTTTCTGGAGTATTTGGCAAAGTGAAGTTTAATTCATTTATTGAGTGAAAACAAAATTGACGCATTGCCTGTTCCTTGCTTTTCCAGGATTACCTTCAACTGTTCTCCATAGTCAATCCGCTCCCGCTGCATTTGTTGTAATAGTTGCTGTTTAATTATCTTCAATTCTTCCATAGTGTATTACTTTCGTACAAGTAGTCTTCAACTAGGAAGAAACATTTTTTTCCTAATAGCAGTATGTCATACGCCCTTGGAATTTATCGACTGCCGCGTTGCCCCATGAATATACACAAACTCCAAAAAATTCTTTTCCGTGAATTTTGAATTTTCTTCGCTAGCTATTTATGCTAAGGGAGAAAAAATATATTTTTCGTTTGAATTAGAATCTTCGTCGTCACTGTTATATCATCATTCCATTGAATGAAGATAATACAATCATGAAAATTAATGTTGCTTGGTGTCGACGTAGTCTTACTGAATTCTGTAGTAAGGATATAAGGCTCGCCCCCGGCTAGCTCGGTATTTACCAAACCTCTTTTGGGCAAAAATTAGATAGAGGGGGTCGGGTTTTTCTACCTCCCTAGACGAGACTCTGCCCTTTAGCATAGCATCGTCTGGGTTCCTCTTTGCCCGAAAGCAGAGAGATGAAATTTCTGGTCGCATAATGAGAAAAGTGTTATGTCTTTATTCCTTTGTATGAAGATAACACAATCATGAAATATAATGTTGCTTGGAGTCGACATAGTCTTACTGAATTCTATAGTAAGGATATAAGGCTCGCCTCCGGCTAGCTCTCTACAGACGATTCTCGGCGTCAGTATATATGCTATTTGGACGAGTTTAAGTCATATTCTGGAGAGGTGTGTTCCTCTCCACAACAGCTAGCTAGCTAGTTGGAGGGATAAAGCTATTATCTCTATTTTGGTAAAATGTATTCACTTGGGTCACGAGACGGCTAAGGAATGACGTCAATTTGTATGGTCACGATTACCAATTGCTAATGTAGCCCACTAGGACGCAGGATGTCATCACAAGCATGCAGCGGTCGGGAGAACAGAGGGTCCAACATGATACCACGACGGACATAGAAGATACCACCGGCCTTGCCGTTTTTCCTTTCGGGAAATATTACAAGTAAGACCCTCTTGCTTTTCGGCTCCTTTCACACTGCTTGTTGTATTCATATGTTATAGGTTTCTCTGTTTGAGAAAAACAGTGATATATATATATATATATATATATATATATATATATATATATATATATATATATATATATAACTATACTGTTTTCGAAAAACCCTCGAATTTTTGATTTGCCAATAATCAAATCAATCTCGAGGAAAAGAAAGGTTTTAAAAAAAAAAAGAGCTACAAACATGAAAGTCTGTCGAAAAAAAAATCGCACAGGTGCAGGTTTGAAGCCCAAAGAAAAAACCCCGA